GTATTATGTGTACTATATGATTTTCCAATATATATTTTACAGAGATCAGAAAAAGATGCAAGCTCAGGTTCTTCAGACAGTGATTCATCTGATGATGATAATGTTGCTAATGAGAACGATGACAATGATGTTGATCAAGATAAATAACAAGTATACTGCTGAAAGATCAATAAAGATGATTTATTTATATTTTTAATGATTATTAGTTCTATCAGTTTAACTTATAATATCTATTTTATAATTTTTTATCCACTATTTTCATTTTTTATTAAGAGTTGTATATACAATTTTATTATTTTGATAGAAATGTGCATTAATATACCCGCTTACTGTTGCAACTATGCATGACTATGTCAACGGGCAGGGCATATAGACAATTAACTAAATAAATAAAACTATAAAATGGAGATGATTAGTACACCGTATGATTCGATATATTATATATAACCTTCTATATATTATATATAACATTCGATATATTATATATAACATTCGATATATTATATATAACATTCGATATATTATATATAAAATAAGAACGATGACAAAGATGTTGATGAATATAAATAACAAGTACACCGAAAGATCAATAAAGATAATTCATTAATTTTTTTAGTGATTATTAAGTCTATCACTTTAACTTATAATATTTATTTTATAATGTTTTATCCACTATTTTAATTTTTTATTATATACAATTTTATTATTTTGATAGAAATGTGTATTAATATACCTGCTTACTGTTGCAACTATGCATGGCTATGTCAGGGCATACAAACAATTAACTAAATTAATAAAACTATAATGGAGACGATTAGTACACCGTATGATTCGATATAGTATATACATTTTTTATTAAACATCGTTTGACTTTCAAGAAAGACATGTGCAATTGAAAGTACGATATAGATTATTAACGTGAACAGTACCTGTCATTACGTGATTTAGAAGAAATAATAAATATATTTTTATGTATTCACCGACTATCGTTTGCCGAAGCATAATATATTTATCATTTGTTACTTAGCTAAAATGAAATGTATGTATGACACAAATATATTATGAGGAAGAAGCTATATAAAAATAATAATTATGATAATGTTTGCTATATAATGTTTTGCTAACACTCTGGCTCTTAGGTCAGCCAATGATGTAAATGGAATATTTCAATATTTGAAGATATTAAATTGAATGAAAGATAAAAAAACATATTTTTGATGGTGTAGCTTTCCTTATTTCATTTATTTCACTGCCGAATGCACAGCAGTGCTTTGAAGGCTTTGTTTTTTAGATAATAGATAATAAATAATAGATAATAGATAATAGATAACATATATGTAATATATAATAGATAATAAATAATAGATAATAGATAATAAATAATAGATAATAGATAACATATATGTAATAATAGATAATACATAATAAATAATGGATAAACATATATTTTTAAAATTTTTTATTTCAAAAATTCGTCCAACAAGAACGTTTTGTTCCCACTTACAGTCGAAAATTGCAAACATCTAAAATAGAATTTCACAAGGTATAAAAACATAAACAAAATTATAAAAATTATTATTATTATTGTCATTTATTACTATATATATGTATATTAATTAAAATAACAATTAAAATTATACTCAGAACACACAAAACAAATATAATATAATTATTTAAGTGACATTTAAACATATTTAAATAATTAGAATACAGATCAACTCAATTATCAAGTCATTATACAAACTAGATAATTGTGAAATAAAACCATTTTTTACAGACATTAACACGACAAAACTGTACAAAAAATAAACGAAGAAGATGACTGGGGACTTTAAATAAAAAATACGAGATAAAGTTACAAGCAAACAAATTAACACATTTGAACAAATACAAAACGTTGATGTACGGATATATAACTCTTTATTGAGCGTGTCAATGATGGCATCGTAAAAAATGGTTAAGGTATGTTATGACGAGTGCCAAATGTTTCAGGACTGATGAAGCGAATCCTCTGAATTCGTATAAAGTTAATTTTAGAAATTGAATTAAAGATGACAGAACAGAAAGATGGTCTAGCAAGTGTGAGATAAAGAAAGCGTTTAGTAGGAATATCAAAAGATCTGCAATTGCGCCACATCAGTCCTAAGACTGTTGTCCCTTGTCGTAATAAATACAAATTAATATGATATGTAAAATGATTCTTTATTAAAGTAATTGATAAAACCTTATAGGCCCTCCTTTTCCAGGCGCATGAGTCATACATGACAATGAGGCTCAACGGTAGAGCGTGTCCAGATCCTCCTGGAGCCCGCGAGCATCCTCGAGTAAAGAAATAGTTTTTAAGAGTTCAAGATTGTCAGCATGAGAAGGTTTTTAGAGTGTTTGAAAAGAGGAATAAGATCATTGGCATAGATATTGAAGAACAAAGGCCCCAGGATGAAACCTTGATGGACACCTGATTAAGTGACGTTATGCCACTCGGATGAACAATCTCAATCTCTGCTGTCTATCATAAAGTGAACCATGAAACCAAAATTGTGTAATTTGCGAAGTTACAAGGCATAAGAAACTGTCAAATGCACGTAAAAAATCTGTATAAATTACATCACATTGCTTCTTACATTTGATAGATTCATAGGCATGTACAAGCAGACACGCAATGTTGGTCTCACAGAACCTTCCAAACATATATAATAATAAACATATATAATAATATATAATATATATAATATAATTTGATATATATATAATATATAATATATATATATATATTATATAATATATAATATAAACATAGGCCTGTGTATAATAAAGCCATGCTGCTGATCAGCAATACATAGTAGTTGATACATAAGAGATAATAGATATCTATTATATACTAGGCCTATGTATTATGTTACCTATTATGTTTAATATATATATATAATATATAATATATATATATATATATTATATAATATATAATATAAACATAGGCCTGTGTATAATAAAGCCATGCTGCTGATCAGCAATACATAGTAGTTGATACATAAGAGATAATAGATATCTATTATGTACTAGGCCTATGTATTATGTTACCTATTATGTTTATTGTGTGTTATCTATTATCAGATAATAAATAATACATAATACTGTACTTAATACATAATACATTTGATAGGCCTACCATATGAAGGGACGGAATACTGAAAGCAGGATGGAACTGCGGAATTAGAGGCCGTGTGTGGCGATTAATATATACACATACAATAATGTGAGGGTAATAATTTGGAGACATAAGTATAGAATCCTTTGAAATAGAGGAAGGGGTTTAAAAAAGATGTGTACTATCGCCAACCCTTTTATGTATGTTTATTAATAAACTCTTAAAACTGTTGAAATCCCACAATGCTGGTGTTAGAATACATACAATTTGGTTAGGAGCCTAATTTTGGGCTGATGATGTAATATTGATGGCAGACAGCGAACATGAATTGAACCAAATATTTAATGTTGCTTCAAATTTTGCCAAGGAATGGAAAATATCATAATATAATAATATATTATTATAATATCATAATATAATATCATAATATCATAATAGATAGTCCCAAGCGCTCGATGTGTTGACTGGAGCACGTACAGTAACTTGCTGATGACAGATAATAAAAATGGTGATAAACAAGGTTTTCAAACATTATTCGTATTTTCATAATCCTTGGGTACCATAATGTAAGAATTAATTTAAAAAAATGACTAACATAATTGGTATCTTGGGTACCACAACGTAAAGAATCACTCAAAAATGACTAGGTGAAAAATAGCCTAATATTGCCAAAAACGTAAAGGGAACGGCTAACATAAATTTTATCTTATTATCTTCATTCATGCTTATTAGAACGTTTGTGTATTTAAAATCATCCCCACCGCGATCATTTTAATAATAACAGGCCAAATATCAATTTAGAATACATGGTTGATTTATTGAAATATTATTCGAACGGAGATATAATAATAATATATGAGATGCATTCTACAAATTAGAGATTCAGATAATCAATACAGTCAAGTTCGTATTACTTGATTTAAGGTGATATGTCGTCAATATCTAAACTTTAACTGTAAGTCATTGTTGTTGTTAACTATTATTGACTCTTGGATTAAATGAATTAGACTAAATTATCGATAACTGATATATATGTATAGGCCTATATATAGGGCTATATCGAATATATCGAACAGCTATACTGCTATACATTTGCACAGTAAATTAGCCTTTCATTGCACTGGGATTGCCGCTAGAATTCTACGTACCGTACATTTTGGCAGTATCAACAGACATGTAATACGTAAACGAAATGAATATAGGATTTAAGGTAAGTCATTAAAATAACAACACGAAAAACATTTTGTTGTATATTCAGTTACATTATAATTATTGTAAATGAACAATTTTTAGTTATCTTTAATACAGTATCAATTTTGTTCTGTTTACCTATGGAAGTGTAGTTTTCAACAGTAATGAAGGTGTTTGAATTTCACAATCCCTATCATATGTAACTTCATTTTATTGTTTACTTTAAAGTTATCTTTTTTATTTTACGTTTCATCTTGCAATGTGTGTGTGTCAAAATTAAATAAATAGATCCAAAAAGCTAAAACAGAGTCACTTATAAACGGATCTATAAAATCATAGATTACTAATGATAAATATGATTATCACGAATTTATTATTGCAGATACTTTTGCTGTGTCATCTCTGCCAGTTTTGTACTGGTAAGTATCCGGTGACCACCATCGTGAATTGTGTGATGGTTTGATATTGACATCATCCCAATCTGTGGTTTTAATAATGCTGCAAAGTAGCGTGAGCCTGACATTGACGGACTTGATCAGTTAGCATTTTCACAAACTTAGGCCTCTATCTGTATAGCTACATTTAATACACTGAGAAGAGGTTTTTCTTACTGAAATCCAGGAGAGTAGGCCTATACCAGATTAATAAGCGAACAGTAACCATACGGCCTTGTGTTTTAATTTAAATAAGTTTTCCTAAAAATACTATAGGGCTATAATTAAAAT